TATATATATATATATATATATATATATATATATATATATATATATTAGTCATGGGTACTAGTTGATGGCATTAAAAATATTTCTAAGAGCATTAAATAAGTTACTCATTCATGTATAAACCCTGTGTAAAAACACTGACACATTTCTTATTCAAAACAGACGTCAAAATGTTCTGTTTTTATTCTGCTGCTAGTCCCAGGTTATCTAATCTTGCTGCTGCTGCTGAGCTCTAAAAACGTCTGAATGTTTTCGTGGCTCCATGACCTCTGACCCTGAGATCTGAACAAATGCAGACTGCAACAGAACTGTGGATGTTCAAGGACGCGCCACGTTATGGTAGATTTATGCTAAGTACGAACTCGGCTCTTGAACGCTCCTCTCCATTGGTTTGGGGTTTGAACGCAGCTCAGTTCCAAACTTGGATGTGAAATGATATTTAAACTGTTTTGCTTTAAAAGTTTAACTTTGCTGATGATATAAAATGTATTTTCATGTTTTCTATAAATATTTAGCAGCTAAAGTCCTGTTAATCCAGAACCTGACTGTTTGTCTCCTTTCATTCCACGTCGACAGGAAGAACTCGGACGAGGCGGACCTGGTCCCGGCCAAAGAGGCCAACGTCAAATGCCCCCAGGTGGTGATCTCCTTCTACGAGGAGCGCCTGACATGGCACTCCTACCCGACGGAAGAGGAGGAAAAGAAGGAGGAAGAAAAAAAAGACTAGGGGGGGCGAGAGGGGAAAGAAGCAAGGCAGGAAAACGGGCTTGACCCCCAGCTGACCCTTCAGTTTCAGAGTCCCTGGCCTCCCGTTCTCTGCACCTGCTGCCGTCAGCGAAGGTGGCGGATCCGTTTTCCTGCCCTGTGAAGGAGGTCGTCCTGAAAAGATGTTCCCACCCGTCACCCCCCACCCCCCACCTCCCTCCTTTCGCCAAGAATGTGTTGATTGGTGCCTTTTTAGTGTTTCCTGCAGACCACAGAGTATCTGAATGAAATCCAAAAAAACGATGAATTTCTCAGCTTCAGTGTTTGGTATCAGGCTCAGCTTTACTTCATCCCTCGTTAGAATAGTTTTTTTTTTAATGTTCGGGTCATGACGATTATGACAGAAACGTCCGATAGACTTTGCGTTTCACGGGTGGGAACTTCTTTTTTAAGCTGTAGGAACGCGCCGAGCTTTCCGACGGAAAACGTTCGTTTTCTCATCCAGAGAAGTCGTCGATCTGATCCCAACAAACAGGCGGTTAGAGAAGATTTCGCTTTAAAGTGGGCGCTTCTGGTGAATTCACTTTTTTTTTTTTTTCAATCCTGTAACAAAGTGGATTCAACCAGAATTGGAGCCCGATGGGGGGGAAAAAATGCTTCTCTGGCCCCGTTTCTGTTCCCTAGGTTGTAAAATTGTTCTCATGCACTGCTGGGCAACACTCAAGACATCTAGTATTTCTTAGCTGGTCTCTGCTGCAGACAAACTGATTTCTAGTTGGAACTGATGTAGCGAGCGGCATCAGTCTTAGTTTTTCCTTTGTGCTTCTGTCTAATGGTTCCAGTGGTTGTGTTAATTGTAGCCCAGCTGTGCAGCTCTGTGGAAACTGTAATAGTGTTGTAGTTTTCTTTGTCGGCTGCGTTAGATTTCCTCCCTCTAGGTTTTTTTTTTTTTGCTTTGGGATTCATGCCTTTTTAAAAACACGTCGATAGTGACTGCATGCGTTGCACCGTCATCATGACCTTTTTAACTCCTTCTATCCGAGCTGGATCAACTGACGGTTCTCTGCAGTATTTCAGTATTCCTCCTGTTGGAATTTAGTTGATGAAATGCTTTTCTATTCCTGCAGCTCATCTTTCTGTATATTTTCCTGTTTTTATCTGAACCGCCTCTCATCTGATGTAATCACTCGATTTGTCTGTGCTACTTTTTTTTTTTTATATATATATATATCTTTTTGTTCCTAGTGGTTTATCTCGATCTGTTGCATGTCTGTTGATCTACTTTTAAACGCAGATTTAAAACAATAAAAAATTGGGATCCATGAGAAGTTTTAATCCTATTGTTTTCTTTGGAACATGGAAGATATGATTTGAAGTACGAGGGTTGTCCCGATACTAAGTAAAACATTCGATACTCGATACCACAAGAATAAAAACAAAGACTCTAAAATTCAACAGAAATATTTTCATTACTAAAAAAAATACAATAAATAAATGAGGTTGTTTGCTGTGCACTATAGGGCTCGGGATCCGAGTTGCATTGTGGGACGTGGCGGCCATATTGAGGGCTACGCGAACGTAAACATAGCTCTGATACAACATTGTTGTTGAAAGAAGAGACATAGAAGTAGAGAGAAAAAAAAAAGAGTAAAAAAGTTAAAATCCCGAAAAAGATCTGGAATTTACCGGGACA